CTGTGCAGACAGTGGCCTTCTCCCAAAATGCACAGGAGCACCATGGAACCCATCTTCCATGGTTTTGGTCAATCAATGTCCCATGGGACACAGAATCAAAGAGTTGGATGTCTGAATGTATGTTGACCTTACTGTTCAACAGTGCTTTAAGGTTGATGAACTTTCTTCAATTAGTTTATTGCATTCATTGGCTGTGAGCAAAATCTGTCAAAGATCATTTGGAAGAAGAGGAAGAGCTCATAATATCAGAATATCAATGGGCTACAAGTTTCTTCAGATTTCAAGCAAAAGAATGGCATAAGATACAGATTGGAAGCAGTGCTATTGGAGCTCCTGGGGTGTGGTGTTATGCAGTGAGGCAGAGGATGATGTATTCAAGGTTGGCTGAGCATGCCAAATGCAAATGGCAGGCCATGAATGTGACTGATATTCAGTTTGTTCTGGAGAAAGATTTGTAGTTAAATGTTAGCTTAATGTGAACCTGCAGTTTCCATTCCCCACCCTTGCATTCTGCCCTGTAGCTGATGGGTGGGTCAGTGGGTACTTCACAGGAGATGTCCAGTGGCAGGCTGGCCCATTCATTCACCTTTTGCATGTTTTATTTCCATTGTGGATATGTCTGGTATGACATGAGTATGTATATCATTTGTCTTGAAAGGCTCATGTGTCCATGGGCTGAGATGAACAGCAACAAACCATTGTTGGGAAACAGAATATTTGTTGCTCACTACAGAGGGTGAATTGGCCACTAGTGACTGGCTGAATGCCCTTGGTTGTATTTCCATCTGCTGAGAAATATTTATCTGCTCATTTTCCAGGCTTCTGCCTATCAAAATACATTGGCTCCTGCAATAGTGGAATGCAACATTTTCCCTGAATTGAACCTTGCAAATCTCACCATCTGCACATGTCCCACCTGTGGGCATACCTTGGATCCTACATTAGTGCAATGAGAATATTGCTTTGCATTTGCATCTGATGACTGATTGCTCTCAGCCTTGCATCTTGCACAGTCTGCTCATTTTGAAGGGTTCTGTCTATCAGGATCCATCGAATGCCATGTTAGCAGGTTGAGACAGTCCATATCAACCTTGCATATTGTGCAGGCTGCTCATTTGGAAGGTTTCCATCTATTGGGATCCACAGAATGCTGTTTTCACAGGCTGACATCTTTCTTTGCATCATTATCCTATTATTAGCTGTTATCTTGTTTTGTAACTCTCAAGTGAATGCTGTAAGTAGCATAGCCCACTCATTTGCCAGGTGTCCATCTATTGGGATTCATCAGCAGCTGTATTAGCAGACTCAGATGTGTCAGCCAAATCAGACTATTAATTGCATTTGTGTTGAATGGCAGGTTGCTATTGCATATTGCACAGTCCATTCATTTGCAAAGGTTCCATCTATCAGGTTCCATCAGCTATGGTTTTAGCAGAATGAGACCATCCTGCTATCTCATTTTTTAAGTTTCAAGTTAACTATTCTACATCACAAACCCATGCATTCACTAAGCTTCCACCTATCAGGATACATTAGCAGTTGTTTTAGTAGAATGAGATTATCCTTCGCAATTCTGTTGGCTGTCTAGCCATTATTGTCTTTTTCTCACTCTTAAATAAAGGTTGAATATATGATATGGCACAAGTGGTCAATTAAAATGGAAATACAAAATGACATTGTATGTACTGTGGAGGAGTAAAATGATAGACAGCCTTGTTCACCCTGCTGTCCTATCTGCCCTTGTCTCATCTGCCAGAGGCCCTAAGAGATTGATGAGATCATCACCCAATGCTTGTCCATATACCCAAATATGCAGAGCCTCCAGCTCACAAGCCATCCTGTCCAGCATCTGCATGGTTTTGTCCTGTTGTATTTGGAAATCATACATTTGATCCTTGTAGTATTGGCAGTGGGCCTCAGCATTGCAGAGTTGACATTCCAAATCTTCAATTCACTCTTTGATTGTGTTGGATGTTTGCAACACCTTGGCAATTGGGGCACAGATGGGTGATGGTGTGCTGGGAGCTGCAGCCATTGCAAGTTGGATGGGTGCTGCTGTTGTTGATGGGTGGGTGTCTGTTTTGAATACAAGGGTTAACTGTGATAATTAGTGTAAATGTAGAGTGATTAAACATACCTGCTGCCATAGATCCCTCTACCTCCTGCACAATGGATGGGCCAGCCTCAATGATTGAATCCACTTGTACAGTGGCTGGGATTGGGCAGGAATCCCTGCATTTGAATGCAGGAATATGAATCTCTAAATAATATTTGAGTCAGCATAAATACATGAAATTGTGAACATACTGAGTGAAGATCCCTTGGGGATTGTCTCTCCCTTGTTGGAGGGCCCAACCCCAGCATTGATGGCTTTGGAAGCCATTAAAACATGTCACTTTTGGGGACATTCCTTTGGGCTTTGGGATTCTTGGGCCTCCATCATTGGGACAGACTTTGAGCTCACTTTTTTCCCCTGGCTTGTGATGGATTCCATTGAGTTGGAGCAGCAATCCCACCTTTGGCATGGCTACATCAAATTTTGCAACCATTGCATGGGAAGCAGGACTTCCTGGGGTTCTTGTAGCATCAGACCTTGCATCTGTGGCATGACTTGCAGGAATGGGGGTTGGGGGAAGGCATCCTTCTGGCCGCTATGGCAGCATGACCATATAGTTTGTCTGACAGTGGACGAGGCTTGCATTTTGATTGGCCTTGAGCAGGAATGTCTTCATCATTGTCAGTTTCTGCTGTTGCCTTCCTAGAGTGGGATCCATGTCTGGATTGATGGGATGTCATTTTCATAGCAGCTTTGCACTTCTGCCTGCCTCATGCTGGTTCTTCCTCATCATCCTCCTTCTCTGGCACCTCATCTTCACCCTCATTGTCCACCTCCATCCTGTGTGAGCTATCTGCTATCATTTGCTCCACCTCTGCCTCAGTTGCTTTCCATTTTCCTTTGTCACTCATAGGCATTTCGGTCTCTTGAGCAGGTGGTGTTGGTGTTGGCACCATGTGGGGCATAGGGAGGCCCAACTGGTGGTAGTCATATTGACACTCAATGATGTCAAGCCACTTGTGGTTGGTGACATCAGTTTTGGAAGGGGATAGGGCAGTCTTCCACTCAGGCCATGGGTGCTCAATCAAGCCAAGGTCTTCATGCCACTTTAAGAATGTGTTGACACTGATGAGGGTCATTGGAATCTCATCTGTCCTAGCAATGAGGTTGCATACAGCATCCTGAATGCATCAGTTAGTGAAAAAAATGTGATGATGCTATGATGCACTAGTTCATTGTTTATTGCCTTGATGGCACCTCTCCACTTCGCAATCTTGTCCACCTTTCCCAGCTTGCTGCTTTCCATGATATCCTTGAAGTAAATTTGAAGGATGTGGTTGGCTGCAGCATTGAGCTCAGGTGATTTTGAAGAGCTTGCAAGATGATGACAATGACATGTTTCTGATAATGAGATGATGGAGTAGTTTGATGGTGAGAGTGGTGATGGTGATTGGAGAGTGGAAGAGTCAGAGGTTAAAGACAGACAATGAGATATGCAGATGTCACATTTTTTATCCCACCTATGAATGATTCCCATGGCATGATGGCAATACCAGTACAAGTCAATAATCCTGAATACATATATGAAGCAGAGGCTCAGATAAAAATATGATGCATTGTTCTGGAATAGCATTGCTGTTTGTTTTGTGTGTTTCCTGTCTGCTCCAATGGCAGAGCCTGGCTCACAGCTACATAGACCAGTGCCTGAGATTCCAACTAAATAGGCAAATCATCCAATGTGAAACACAATTTATAGTGGGAAATTCAGATACTCTATAGTGTGAGAGGTTCCACTTTCTTCATTTCTTGTCTTCCTGGGCCCATCTTATATTGTGACAGGGGGATAACCCAATTATGGATAGACCTGTCCATTTTTGGTGAGCTATCTATGATATGATGGATTGGCCCATCTTATGCAGTGCCAAGGGTTTGTAATCCTGCAATGGACAGATCAGCCTGTCTTATGTCATAACACTGGTTTTTGTTTTCCCTTATCTGCTGCCTGAGAATACCATGGATGGGCCCATCCTTATGTAGATCCCTTTTATCTCCCTTTCTGCTGCCTGAGAATGCCTTACATGGACCATATGTTGCAACAATATAAACAATACTACTGAAGGGCCTGTCCTTATGTTGTGACACTATTAAACAGCATTACTGATGGGCCTGTCTTTATGTTTCAACAGGGTACCTCTTACTGGGGCTGGGCCTGCCCATATGTTGTGATGATATACATGAGATTACTGACAGGCCCATCTTTATGTTTGTTCAGAGGTGCATCTTACTGTGGACAGGCCCATCCATATGTTGTGACTCTATTAAATGATATTAGTGATGGGCCTGTCTTTATGTTTTGACAGGGTACATCTTACTGGGGCCAGGCCTGCCCATATGTTGTGATGATATAAATAATACTACTGAAGGGCCTGTCCATATGTTGTGATGCTATACATGAGATTACTGACAGGCCCATCTTTATGTTTCAACAGCAGTACATCTTACTGTTGACAGGCCTGTCTATATGTTGTGACACCATAAATGATATTACTTCTGGGCCTGTCCATATGTTGCCAACTTTGTATTCTAATCATAGATGGGCCTGTCCTTATGTTGTGAGCCTCTCCATGTTATGACAGGTGGGCCTGCCTTGATGTTGCAACAGGGGTGTAACCTACCAGGATGGGCCCATCCATGTCTTACAGCAACTCAGTATACTTAATTGGTCACAGGCCTGTCTAAATGTTTCAACATCCTTTACCCACCATGGGTCCTCCCATATGTTGTGGTAATGCACTTACAGGCCCATACATATGTTGCTCTCACTTTAGTCCCTTGGGCCTGTCCATGTGTACTGGCTAATCTATTTAGGTGGGCCTGTCTCAGGGTCTATATAAGTGTTGGTGTTTTGGTGCACAGGCTGCCCATGTGTTGTGACTAAATGTGACTACACTATGTGCAACTTGAACACCATCACATCACCCTTCCTCATTTGAATCTCTTCCAGCCCATCTTTACAATCCCATTTCTCCACCAACCATCCAATCCCAACCATATCTCCAGCATTCAGGCTTGCAGCGATGAGTTCTCCAGCCTCAATCACACCTGCTTCAATTGAATCGACAATGATCATCTCTGCCTGGCTAATGAGACCATAGTCTACTTTGACCATGCTCAGCTTGAAGCTCCCCATGAGATTTAGGTGTGTTCCAGGCAACACCCACTCAGAGGGGAAGAGTGGTTGAGTGGATGATGTTTCCATGCAGATCACATTCACATGACCTATGGCACTTTGGATGCTGGTCATATCATCCAATGCAAGTCCTTCAAGTGAGATGAGAGGGTGAGATTGATGCAATACAGACAACAGGTTTTTCCAACCATGCACTCATTGAACAATTCACAATGGTACATTGCTTGAGGGACAGAAATGCATGGATATGAAGATCCACATGGGCCTCGATCTGTTTCCCAGTGCTGAGGGTGACCAACAAGCTAGGCAGTTCAGAGAGTAGTAAGCATGTTGCAAGGACAGAGCCTATTAGGTGCCTGAGGGTTGCTAGAAGTTTAGAAGATGCATATATCCATACCAGCAGCAGTCCTCAAGGCTGTCAGTGCACTCACATTGACAATCACCTCCACATGCCTGGATTCCTTGTCCAGCAGAATGGTTGAAGCAGGCAAACCATGCTTATTGTTGGCAGATGTAGGTACAGAAACAACCTTGATCGCAGTTCTGATGTCCTCAACCCATGAGGGCATAAACAGAGCTGTGTGATGGGACATGGTAATGCTTGTCCTTTGTGGAGATGCATAGTGTGATCCCAATGAGAGGCAATGAAATACAGAAGCCATGAGGGCCTCGAGCTCTGCTGATGGCAAGGCAACAGTGATTGTGTCCACATCCTGAGCAGAGAGTATGAGAAGTGACATTGCAGGGTGCAATCACAGTCACTGGCTGGACACCTTCTGCATGTTGTCTGCAGCAACTGCCAGTGTGATGCAGGAGACAATTGTGATTGAATAAGCTCTGCAGGCACCAGCTGAAGCTGTGCTGTGGGTTTCAACCTTTCCCAGTCTGTCAGTGATCAGCCTCCCACCCCCACTTCACCATATCACATCACATCATGTGACATGCCAGCATGAACATGGCAGTAAAAAAACTATTACCACTGGTGATGCACTCCATATGTGTGCCATAAATATAATAGATGTAAGTCATGCCATGTCTCTTGCTTTTTTGCAGGATTAGGTACTCAACAATAGCTTCCTGTTGATCATAGGATCTTCCTGATGTACCAAGCAGTTCCAGAGTTATTTGCATTTTTATGGAAAGGTCCACCCTTAGGCTCTGAATGGCAGCAACATTTCCACTTCTTTGTGCAAAACATATGCAACCAAGTCTGTGCAGAGTTCAGTGGACTTTGAAGTTGATAATTGCAGACTGTCTGACTGCAGTATTATTGGTGAGGTGGATACAGGATAAGTTGTGGGTTTGCAGGTCACCTCAACAAAGAGACCTTCTTCATCATTACAAGCAAGATTGTCCCCAATACCCACCAGCCCACCAATCACTTTGACTTTGCAACAAGATGGTAGGTAAGGGCTCCTGGTTGAAGGGGGGTGCTGCATCTATCACTTCAAACTTTGAGCTTCAACCAAAGGCATGAGCCTTGTGGAGCCCAGCAGATATTGACATGCTTCTCAATTATGTGGAGGAAAACTGATTCAGAGCAGGTGATTGCATGGTCCTTTGAGAAGGGCACTTCAATGACCTACTGCCATGACTCCCTGTCCAGCCCAATGGCCACCATAAACAGCAAAAAATCGTCACGATAAGTGGGGGAGTGTATGTGTGTCAATTTATTGTTGTATTCAGTGTTACTCATATCATACAAAGCTGAAGTAGGAATACTATGCCACTTCAGCTGTTGCAGGGGGATCAGGACAAGCATATTCAGCAAACAAAGGTGCTGACATTGTAACTGAGGCAGGGCAGCTTGTGATGGATGACTTGGTCAAGGTATGTCTAGTTTCTCTCCTAGTGTGTAAAATGCTTGTATTTTTAACCATTCATAAGAATTGGCCAGGTGTTGCCCAGTTCCAAAACACAGGCTTCAGGTACTTGGACCATATGCAAGAGTTCATTCCTCCTGACAAGGCAAGAGGCACCAATGCACACCACACCACTTGTGCCTGGCCCCCTGCTCAAATGTCTCAGGTCTCCGCATCTAACCCTCCTAGCACCATCAAGCAGCCTATCATACTGCCTCAGCCAGCATTTGTGTGGCCTCCTGTTCAATATCACCCATCATCCACACTGTCACTTGCATGGCTCTCCTTTGTGCAGTACCAACCTGAGTCTCTGGATCAAACTCAAATCACACAGATGCACTGAAACATGGAACCTACTGCAGACACTCCAGCAACACCCACAGCACCACTCAATGCACCATCCATATTCATCCCCACAGTCTCCCCCTCATCCATCCCTATCTCACAGCCATCTTCAGCAATGGTATTAACCACATCTGTCAATCTGTCATTGAGTATGTCATCTCATGGCAGGAAGCACAAGAGTGATGCCATGATTGAGCTGGAATCTACATCCACAACATCCTCCGGCATTGCAGGAAGCTCTGGTTCTCAGAAGTGGTGTTCTCAGGTGGCCACCATGGCAGATGCTATGCAGGAGATCAAAGGTTTCATGACCAATATAGACCTCTGACACAGCACTTAGCAAGGCCCTTGCCACACTCAAGCCTGCAAGCAAGAGTTGTGATTTAGATGAAGTGTGTAGAATGATATACCAACTGGAGAAGAACCTTTTGCTGGGGAACCAGATGCACTTGCAGATGATTTTGAAGAACATCCCACCTACATCATGGGTTACAGGAATGCTGCCTCTGTCTCAGCAACACAGAGAATGATTTGGGTGAAGATGAGGCTTGAGGCAGTCAGCTTCCAGGTTCCAGAATATGCATGTGTAGTGAGAAATATGTAGTGTATCCATACTCCTGTCATAACCATGCCTCAACCCTGGCCAGACTTGGCCTCGCATTTATCCAGTCTGGCCTTGGCCTTGCCAGTCCCCTATCCCCAGATGGTCTAGCACAGTTAACACTGCTTTGCAGTGTGTGTCACTTTGGTTGAGCTCTGCCCAGTCTTGCCCCCAGTCTGCCCTGTCCTGGTCTCTGTTACCTTAGTCATACTTTACTAATACTTGTCTTACCAATCAGCTTAACAATCTTTGCAAGACCAGCATTACCAGTCTCTGTACTATAGCTACTTCTAGTATATAAACTCTTAGATACTTGGCCTGTACTCTCCAGTCTGAAATCAACTAAGTTCATTCTGATAATCCTGCCTCAGCCTCAGACTTGGACTGAAACCCATGCAAGGGAATAGTGCTGCCTTCCCAGTCACTAAGTCCAACCAGTCCACCTCTGTTCCTCTGCTCTCCACCTGTCCCCAACCCTTTTGTCTCTGGTCCAGCCTCAACCCAGACAACATGAACTTGACAGTATTTCAGACTCACTACTTGTGCATCACAAGTCCAAGGCTACAGTGATGGTGCACTGCACCATCACTTCCACTCCAGGCTCCCAGACCAGATCAAAGATGAAATCTGTTGGGTTGGAAAGCCCTGGACTCTACATGAGCTCCACCACCTTGCCCAGGAAATAGATATGTGCTATTGGGAGTGCAAGGAAGAAATCCAATGGGCAGGTAGGCATCAGGGCTTGTCCTCCTCCAACAACAACAAGTCCAGCAGTTCTGGTAACAACAGTCAGTCTAAGACCAGTCAGGACAAAGCCAAGACTGGCAGCAATAACAATGCTGGCCCCTCCCCTAAGCCAGGCAATAACAGCAACTCATCCAAGCCTGAGCCTAACAAACTTGGCAAAGATGGGAAGCTCACCCCAGAAGAATTCAAGTGTCACTTAGGTGGAAACTGTCAAGTCTGGGCCTACTCTGAGCCTGCTATCAAGATTGTCAAAGTCACCCTCACAAAAAGTCTGCAATGTCACAAATAGTACAAATAGTCAGAAAAATAGTACAGATAGTCAAAATAGAAATAGAATCTACTAGAAATAGTCCTGGCAACTATCTGGACTTTTTTTGACTATCTGTGCATGTGAAAGGCATGATAGACATCAATTAATTTCCTGATGCTCCATCAATCAGACACTCATTTCACTAGGTCCACCAGGCATCTTTGACTTATGCCTTTGTCCACTCTCTACACTAACCATTAACAAGGATGTGCTTTGTTGTATTTGGAAATTAACAAAAACAAAATAAGTAGCCCCTGAATCTGCTCATTGTCATTTACATGCTCAAAAGTTTTGTTCAGTACAGTTACTCTGCAGTAGAGCTGGTGGACTTAATATGCAAATGAGTCATAGAAAAAAATTACTGGCCAAGCTCGAAGATCACCGCTAGCAGTACTACAACAGAAGGCATTTACGTAGTGTTCTGCCAGCCAGAGAACTGTGGCTTGTATCCACTAACGAAGTTAGAACATTGCGCTCACTCGAAGGCCTCTGTGACTACCACTCCATAAGGACGAAAGTAAATATGGCATACTCCACAGGCACTCTGATTGCAAAGAGAGAGACGAGGTTGGGTAAGAACAAGGGGTGTGTATAATCGCGAATTAGTCCTGATTCGTCTGGCCACTTGGTCGATACTTGATACCACAACTCTCGAGCCCTGCTTCTACGTCTTCCGGAATGTCACCTTTAACTTTGACATCATACTTCGCTTTCGACACCAAAGAGAAAAAAAAACGTCAGCAATGCTCGGGAGCAAACCAAAAGGCAAACAAGGCTCACCCGTTCTCTGTCATCGTGCTACTCAACTCGCGACGGACGTAATTCCATCAAAGTAGATGGCGGTGTGAACGGATGTCCCACGGAGTAAGGCATAAAAATAGGATGTTTGAGGTCTCGTGAACAGGAATACAACAAGGATGCGCTTGCATGATTTCTTGGCAGTTTGGACATCCATTTTTCTTAGAGTCCGTTGGATATTGGAGCAAAGTAGGCGTGCTCCGAGATTTTTATATTTGCCTTGAGAAGGAGTTAAAGCTGTCATCGTGGATGTCAATGTCGTCAGGCTTTACTTATTATGTGAAGTAAAACTTGTGGAGAGGCTACGAGCAGTGACCGAGGAACGTGACGTTAGCGAGAGAGCAGTTTGATTGATTCGATTTTTATGAAGCTAAAGTGTTCAACTACCCCACGAAAATGGGCTGAAGCCGACGCAGCCCCTAAGTTCACCATAGGGGCACACGCGCCGGAAAGTGTGGCATGCTGCTAATCGGCTTGAGGAAGCTATCCTGATCTCGCTGGGACTGTGATGGCCCCATAACTTTGCTAACCCCTGTGTATCGAATCCGTTCGTAGCCGCGACAGGGAACAGAGGCATTGCAAGGCCTCTCAAATTTTGTGAGCGTGACGTTCCTCCTGACCGGGAGGTATCATGTCGTCCTCTCAGTCGCCAAGGATGATGCCCCTCATTCTGCTCAGTGTGGTTCCGTGTGTTATCGCCACTTCTAACGCCTCAAGGAGCTTCAAGTCAGTAATCGAGGGTGTAGGTCGTTGTATGCACTTTTGTAGGTCGCAGTTGACCACCACCCTACAGATCATCACCGAACCACGAAAGCTGGCTGTTGTTGTCGTGTGCGCCTCTGTTGTGGTAATCGCCATCCTCATGTGGCTGGTGCACATCATCGCGGGTTGCGTGCGCAAAAGGAGGTTCCGCAAGACTGGGGGTCAGCCTACTTCCCCTCAGCTACTAAGCAACGACATTTCCGTTTCAGAGTTGGGAACGTCTGAAAGGGCCACCAAAGTACCTTCTCTGACTCCTTCGACGAGTAACCCGCCCAGTCGCGCTTCCCTGAAATCTCCCATCAATGACGCTGTGAATACTTTCAACACTGGGATTCCAGCACATCTGCCGTCACCTAAATCGTCAAGAAGAACCAGTCACAGCCAAACTCCCGCCCATGAGCGACGCCGTCGTCATCCACAAGGACAGGATCACGGCTGGCGGGCGGTCTCGCACTCCCCCTCCTCACATCGTTCTTCAAAAGGAGGACAGTTTGAGGCGAGCGAACATTATGGGTCGCTTGTTGCGAATGAACAAAACCCCAGTTCAGGTACGTCATGGTGCCCCTATTTTCATGGCTGAGGGAAGAAACACCATTTCTTCCAGGCGGTCCCCGCTATGCACGCCAGGGCAGTCGTCGTCACGCATGCCCGAGCGTTTCCTGGGTGTCGCAGGGATGCCCAGAAGGCCATGATAAACATCATTCGAACTCGTCCCATCGGGGACAACAGCATGGCACACCCCTCCGTGACATGGAGACTGTTGTATTAACTCACACCATTACCTACCCTTCCAAATACGCACAATCTCCTTCGAAGCAGATACCACAGGAGCACATTGCAGGGAGTTCTATCATGCACCGTCAAGGGGCAGTGTCTCAAAATCCAAGTGACACGGAACAACAGCGATACACAAACCGTGTGGACCTGCCTAGTCACCATGACGCAAGCCCTATGGTCCTTGTTAACGATCGGCCCCCACCATATTCTGCGAGATCAAAGGCTTAGCTTACTGTATATTTCAAACTGTAACAAGACAAGGGCCAGGGAAGACCACGGGTCGACTTCCCATGAACCATGTCGTAGAAACTCGGAAACTCTTCAGACCGATGTACCAGCTTATTTCGGAAGAAAAATGATACTTACTAGGCACGAGGTAGGACTTATTGAAATGCAAGGGTAGGCGTAAAACAACGCTTCGTCGCCGTTTCCTTTTGCGAAGGCTGCTAGTTTGCAGCGGGAAGTAATCCGGTGCATTTAGTAAACCCACATCCTGGCCCCCATGGGGAAGGGCGGCCATCTCCACGCTTGAGTTCTTTGCTCAGAATCCAAGTCCTGGATGCCGTCCCAACGGGATAACCTGTAATAGAATGATGATGGTCAGGGAAGCTGACGTATACTTCCTCATTTTATTCAGAGATATGGAAATGACGTTTAGTTGCCCGAGGTCGACATCGAATCGTGGCTTCACAAGAATCACTTTCGTTAACTGCTGAATAACTGAAACACACCCCTCCCCCCCTTAAATCCCCCTGAACATCCTGGATTCGCCATCTTTTAGGTGGCTTACTTGTACCCACCAACCCCCTTTCATTTCAATGTCTTGAACGACGGTGGTCAAGAGAGCGCAGACATACCACTATCTCCCCGATGCGATGTCAGTCTCGGTTTTGCTGTGGGTCACTTTATTTCGTCTTCTTCAGGGAGTTGCTGCCACCGGCAGCACCTCCAGGCGGGAGCCCAACGGTGTGAGTCATCATATATCCTCGCATCATAAAGACCCACCATTCTACTGTAACATCTGACAGGCCTTTTCGGATCCACCAAAACAAATCGCTTTTACTGTGTGTGTCGTAGCGTCCATAGCAGGAGTTCTCGCAGTTGGGGTGTGCGCCTTAGTAGCCGGCAGGCAGAAGAAGACTTCGGATGACCCCGAGCTAGGATCTGCGGTCACAACAACCAATGACAACACACGTCCATCAGACCAATCTGCGAATACCGAGCCATCCTCTCGAGCATCCGGCGATCTCCAAAGGCGGACACCGTCGACCGGAATCCTGGTACCCGATACGGACACCCCAAGGAGCCGTTCTTCACGGTCCCGCCGATCACGGATATCGTTCATACCAACAAGCCTTGAGTCGATCCCAGAACACGAGCAATGGCAGTTTTGCTTCTGTAGCGATAGCGGCGACGATGATGACACTTCGCCCCCTCCAGGTAGCTTTCACTCTTGGTACCTGGATTACCGATGCCGAATACTCTTGAGAAAAATTTCTATAATGGCCGGACACACCGGAAATCACGGTGAAGCAAGGCCATCTGCCTCGCTTCCCCACGAGGAAGATACCACAACTCTCCATGACTTCGTCAACGTGAGCCGAAGACGAGTCCATTCAGCACTTAAGCGGAGAAGGGGTCCTATCCGCCATCATGACACAGGACCCATAGCTTCAGCTAACATTAATGAGCAACCCACACACCTCGACCAAGTTCCACCATCCATCCTACGACGTGGTGATCGTGCAGAACCTTCCGTAGCTGAGCAGCCAGCGGACAAGTCCAAATCCGCTACGGCTATAAAGCGAACTGCCTAATGCCAGCTGCGACTATCCCCACC